GTGTAGTTGTAGTGACCGGTTCCTCGTCGGGCATCGGAGAGGGAATCGTTAAACTGTTCTCAATATTAGGGGCTAATGTTGTGGTCACCGGAAGGACAGCACAAGACGTTCAACGAGTGGCCAAAGAGGTGCAGGAGTTGTCACCACTAAAATTAAAGGTATTAATACAGTATTTCCAAACATAATTATCTAAAATATAAATTTTTAATAAAAACAATTATTTTTCACAGCCATTAGAAGTTGTGGGAGATTTGACCAAAACCTCTGATGTAAACAATTTAATCGATTCTACGGTCAAAACGTTTGGCCGATTAGATGTATTGGTCAATAACGCCGGTATATATCCGCAGACAAACATCACTCAAACGGATTTAATGTCAGTTTGGGATCAGATATTTGCCGTCGATTTACGCGCTGTCGTAGAACTCATCCACCGATCGGTTCCACATCTGGAGAAGACTAACGGAACTATAATTGATATCTCAAGTGTGGCTTCACTCGCACCGGTATGTGATTGTAATGATGATCTATTCTTTGTGTTTTAAATATACAAAAATATTGATTGAACTATTTATTGCGTTTATAAACGATATAATACTAAATCTTTTAAATTAGTCCAAATCTTCACTAGCTTATTCATCGGCCAAAGCGGGTCTGAATATGTTGACCAAAATATTAGCCCTGGAATTGGGAAACTATTTATTGCGTTTATAAACGATATAATACTAAATCTTTTAAATTAGTCCAAATCTTCACTAGCTTATTCATCGGCCAAAGCGGGTCTGAATATGTTGACCAAAATATTAGCCCTGGAATTGGGGCCCAAAGGTATTCGTGTCAATACTATTACGTAAGTAATTAATTAGAATGTTATTATTGTTACGGATTTTATTGCTCATTAAATCATTAAATTAATGTCAATGTAATTGTAGTCCGGGTTTAACACATGTGAGAGACGCTCCGTTTCCTCTCGAAGAAGTTATGGTTAAAGCGACGCCATTGGGAAGAGTGGGTCAACCCCTAGACATCGCCCGTGCGGTCGCATTCCTGGCCTCCACTGACGCACACTTTATTACCGGCGCTAATGTTGTAGTCGACGGCGGACTCGTATACAACGTGGGTGTTTTGAATACAATGTAGTTTTGTTGCAAATAAAGTGGTTGTAATTTCATGAATACTTTTTGTTAAGTTATAAAAGTTGTATAAGTTATACAGTATAACAGTTTAATTTAATAAAAATGCAAATGCTTACATAAAAAAGCAATAATTTATATAACAATTTTTAATTACTCCGACCATGTATATTGCCAAGTATGTAGAATGCTACAAAGATAAAACTATATATTTAAGAGTAACTACAAAGCATAATATTTAATCAAAAAGATATAATATTAATAATAAACAAGTTCATTATGCTTGATTAAATTATTAAAATAGAGCTTATTCAAATGAAAGTTATCTTTAAAACAACATTTTTAAATTGATATAAATGTCAAATGAATTACAATAAAGATTATTACAATTATTTCTAAATGATTTAATTTCCATTGATTTGTGATTTACATACTGTATATCGGTTTGCATTTAATCTTAATTCAATCCATTAACAAAATTATATTAACTTAGAAATTATTTTAAACATATTTTATATACAGTAGTATTTACATTTTATATATTTAATTTATAAATACTATGGACCATAGTATATGGTATTTAAACTTAAAATGCCACAACTAAATTGTGTTTAATACATTTTAAATAAAATAACTTTTAAGGTTTATCACAAAATAATGTTGTAAATACCCCACAAAATATAATAAAACTACAGTATATAAAAATAATATGCATAAATTACTGCATTTTTAAAAGTAAATTTAAAGTTTTATTTATTAAAACAATTACAGTTCTGTTAATAATAATATTAATAATATTTTAACAAATATTATTAGTTTTAGAAGTGTTTTATTGACAGTAATTTAATTAATAAATATTAGTTTAAAATTAATCAAATAAAATATTACCATAATTATTTCAAAATACTGTTAATTAGAACCTCCCCTCAGGTGCAAAAGTAATTTGCGAAACACCCCTAAGTGTAAAGCAATCAAATGGTTTAATCATTGTTTAAATATTATTTTTTATAACTAATTAATGCAGTATTTAATATCAAACAAAGTAAATGGTATTAATAAAGTGTTAATCCATCATAATGAGATAAAAGGTATGCACTAATATTGTACTAAATCTAATCTAAGATTGTGTGTGGCATTAAACTAACTCGTTAAATTAAATAAGAATTTTTGCAACTATATAAACAATTGAATTCATGCAACAACAAGTATAAAATTATAAATAAGATTTTATTAAAAAGAAAATTTTAAATTTATATTTTTTGAAAGTTTATAATTAATTATTTAATATGAAATTCTTAATAGCATTGATGTGTGGATTGGTTTGTATTGTAAGCGCAGACTATCCGATAGAGGATTATAAAGCGGTCGCGAAATCCCGGGACTTTACGGGAAAAGTGGTTCTCGTGACCGGTTCCTCGTCGGGCATCGGAGAGGGAATCGTTAAACTGTTCTCAATATTAGGGGCTAATGTTGTGGTCACCGGAAGGACAGCACCTGATGTTCAACGAGTGGCCAAAGAGGTGCAGGAGTTGTCGCCACTAAAATTAAAGGTATTTTCATTATAATTAAAATAGTAGAATAGTAGTAATTAAAATCCAAACATTTATACTATTTATATATATTTTAAATATACCTGTTTTTGTTAACAGCCATTAGAAGTTGTGGGAGATATCACCAAATCTTCAGATGTAAATAATTTAATCGATTCTACGGTCAAAACGTTTGGCAAAATAGATGTATTGGTCAATAACGCCGGTATATTTAAGCCGACAAACATCACTCAAACAGATCTATTGTCGGTTTGGGATCAGATATTTGCCGTCGATTTACGCGCTGTCGTAGAACTCATCCACCGATCGGTTCCACATCTGGAGAAAATTAACGGAACTATTATTGATATTTCTGCCATGACAGGAATCGCACCGGTATTTACTCATAATTGTTTATTTATTATAATATAATTTATACTTAACTACATGAATGACCAGTAATTTTATAAAATAATGTGATGTATATATTAACCACATAGATAATAGACTACCATTTAGTTTGTTATGTAATTAAAATGTTTATAAAATAGATTCAATCAATGGAAACCTTTCTAAGCATGATTAGTAATATTATACAATGTTTACCCACATTTAAATAATGATGTTTGTTCTAGATAAAAATGTTTGGCCCGGCCATTTCAGCTGCAAAAGCCGGTGTGAATATGTTGACCAAAATATTGGCTCTGGAATTGGGGCCCAAAGGTGTTCGTGTCAATGCTGTCAGGTATGTAATTATCCTTATAATAATATTATTATTACATACGTCTCTCTCTCTCTCTCTCTCTCTCTCTCTCTCTCT